CAGTGTTTTCATCATAGAAAAAAAATGGGTGAGAATTTCTCACCCTTTCTCAAAAACAGGGTGATATTTCAGAAAGTTAAGTGAGATTTCTAAAAACTGAAAAAATACAAATAGACTTGAAAGAAAAAATTTCTTTTATTATAATACATTTTTAACGTCTATTTTTGAATGCATTGAATATTTTTGCTGCATCATCATAGAAGATTTTGCCGTTACTACGTATTTGTCCATCTTACATTAGTGCATAAAAAATTTGAACCTCTTACATGAAAAAACCTTACCTACGTTAAACACGTGGTTTCAGAGAAATGTGTTCTGAAAGGGGTTCCGTGGTTCGAAGGGGTTGTGTTCTGTTGTTCGAAAAGGTTCTGAAAAATACTGGTAAATAGGAAAGCTAGATAACAGGGCAAATGTTGAAAATAATGAAAGATCCAGTAAGAAAAGTGAAATGGATTTTATTCTAAATAGCGTAACTCGAAACTTTTTCCAAAATGCGAGAAATTCGCGAATTTTGAAATTGATTTATATAATGCTCGAATTTCTCGCGGTAATCATTTTTTAATGCGAGAAAGGAAAAAAATATGCGAGATTCTCGCGCTGTAGTGAAAACACTGTAAATAAATGTGCATTAAAACAAAAAGATTAATAAACTTGTTCCTTTCATATTACTGCATTTATATTTTATAATGCTTGAGTAAAAAATTGCGAAACTTTATATACTTAACAATAAAGAAGATTCAAATATATATTAGTGATAATGCATTATTTAAACTTAATATAAAATACATATAACAAATTTAAAATAACTTTTTAGATTTATTTCTATTTTTAAGCTTATACAACACTTTTTAATAAATAAAAATAGTTACACAGTAAAACTTAAAAGTTTGTGAGCACTAAATGAAAAAACCCAATTTCCCTCAGGTTTTTTCAAATAAAACCCAATTTTCCCTCGGTTTTTTCAATTAAACCCAGGCGGGTTGGGTTTTTTCTTAAATACCCGGTTTTTTTCAAACCCTGTCCAAAGCAAAAAATAACTTTAGTAAAGGTTTATTATTTTACTTAAGAATAGTGAAAAAAAAATTTGAATTGTAAGGTACAAAATTTTTTGCATCATTTCATTTTATATTTCAAAACACAAAATTCGAGTGAAATCGGTGGAATAGTTCCAGAGAAATTGAATTTCAAAAACGTCAGATATTTCAAATTAGATTTCTCAGGAACTCTTTGAATGATTAGGCTCACATTTTCTATTTTGCCATATAAAATTTCATTCTATAAAAGAATCAGGGGTCTGTCTAGGTTTTCCTGAGAGGTACTTATCTTGTGAAAATGTAGACATAATTTGTGAAAATGAAAAATTGTATTAAAAAATCAACACCAAAATGCGGTAATAATATGGATTTATGGTTTTTTACGGGATAAAAAAATTAAATTTTAAGAAAAAGTATTTTGTGAAAATATAATTTTTCCTTAAGTTGAATTTGTGAAGGTACCGCTAAACGGTAGTTAATTTGGCCTGGACAGACCCCTGAGGATGCAAAACATTGTATGTTTTAAAATTCAAATATTTTTGACCATTCTTAAATAAAATAATAAATATTTACTGAAAGTTATTTTTCGCATGTTTGGACAAATGAATTTTATAATGGTGTGTAAATTTTTTTTTTAATTTGCTTAAAGTTCTCGAGATATAGCGAAATAAGCAAAAAGTGAAAAAAAATTTTGGAATGCTTTCCAGACCAAACTATTGTAACTACCCCTATATTTAGGGGGGGGGGAGATATCCTAATTTGTTGAAAAAAAGATATGTTTATTCAGAGAAAGTACATTTTTGTGTTTGATTTTGTAACTTAAATTATCGTTTGCACTTATTAGTTAGCATATTGAGATCACTCCTATGAGTCATAAGAACAAAAGTTCATGGTGGTCCTTTTTTGTGCACTGTATTTCATTAAATCTTTTTCCTTTTAGCAATTTCTTGGTACATCAATCAGATTATTCAGAATAAAAAGCTCTCTAAAGCTTCCCTTACATTCCTATGTTAAGCATCTTACCACCCAGTAAAGTTTTACCATCTTGTTCAGACTAACCCTGTTTACATAACTCTTTCATTTTAAAAAGGAAAAAAAAAAGCTATCAGACTCTAAAGGTAGAAAATAAAAACACTTACTTCTTTCTATCACACTTTCAACGGCAACTGAAAATAAAATTATACAACAGAGTTACGTCAAATTTTGAACATTTTAAATTCTTTAGGAAATATTTAAAACACAGTAAACAGACAGACTACAGAATTAATAATAAACAATTTCTACTTGATTAACATAATGGGCTTAAATAACTACTAGAAATAAAATAGAGAAGGCTGAAAAAAGAAATTAAAAATATAAAAGGAACTTAAATCACGAATTTGATAGATTCTTTTCCGGTATTAGCCCCTTTTTATAGACTTCTTTCAGTTCAAAAAAAAGTTTGAATTGTTATTCTGTTACCAATGTCATGATTTTTCAAATAAAAAATTTATTTTTTGTGTTTTCTTTAAGCTTATTAAACTAAACATAAAAACTACAACAGAATGAAAATTTATTAAGCTTCCAAAAAATATTTTCTAATAATCAACACATCTGATCAAATTATCATATTAATAGGATGGATAAAATTCGAAAGGATCGGAAATATGTAATACCATAATTTTTAAATAAAAGTAACAAAAATATAGCGAATAAAAAATTTTTTTTTACGGATATCTTCTTATGTATTAATAATCTGTCATAAAAAAAAAACGTTCGATAATAAAGATTACTGACACTTCTAGCAAGAAATCTTTCTTTTGGTTAAGAATCATATTGAGTATATTGTTAGAATGATCTAAATAGAATTAAGTAATTAAGAGAAAGTTTATACTTACAAAAACATAATTGAACTACGTAAGCGTAGTAAGACCATGCAACTATTGTGCAGATAAACAAAACTGGAAACCATTTAAATAAACGAAAACAAAGGGAACACTTTGATCCCATACTTTTATAAAAAGAGGGAGGCATTTTAAATTAAATAAAACATAATTCAAGTACATAGGAACTAATTATCAGTCTGAATATTACATTTTTCAAATGTTTGACAAGCAGAAGACCGACATACCGATAGAATAGAACAAATAAAAACCAATACGAAAAGGAGTAGTGTTGCCAGATGTAAAATGCAGAACTTTGTTAACTGCCACAGCAGATTGCAACTGGTTTGCGTTCATGCATGAAACGCATGCAGTAAGAAGGACCGTTTTGGAAATTTTTTCACTGCAATGGATTCGCATATGAGATTGCATGTAAATGCGATTTGCACATTCAATGATTTATTTTCAGAGTTCAAAGTTTAATTAGGGGGGAGTCATTGTAGGAAAAAGTTCGCATCTCAAACAAACAAACTTCTTCTCATTTTTTATTAAAGTAAACTGATTTTTATGATATAAAATTAAATACAAACTTAGATAAAAAACATAATTATTTGACAAATTTGTTTTTACACGTAATTATATCAGTAGGGGTCACTTTGAATGACGCTAAATTTTGCTCAAAAATCTGGTTTTAATGACACCAACACAAGTGGCATTTCCTCACCAAGAAAATTACACATTTTTTTTAGCATAATAGTATGTTTTTCGAAATTTTGACACCCATCCTTTGATTTGGTATTAGTATCAAAGTTGTCATTTGAACCAAAAAGTTATAAAAAATCATTAAAGTGTCCACCTAATGATCAGTTCAAAACCAAACAATTAATAATAACTAGAAAGCATCAGAGAGAAATTCCTAGAGTCCAAGTAGCCAATAGTAAACATTGAATGCAAGCTTTTCATAATTTTATAACCTGCCTCATATCGTATTTTGAAACATCATCGATTTTTGCGACAGCTGTTCTGACTATTATATATATAGAGGGACAAAGAAAAAATAAAAAACTTCATAAAAATATTTTTTATATATTTCTTAGCATAAATATATGTTTTTAAAAATTTCGATACCTATCCTTTGACTTGGTATTAGTATCAAAATTGTCATTTGAACCAAAAAATTATAAAAAATTATATATTATTAATAAAAATAAGTGTCTACCAAATGATTCCCTCAAAACCAGCTATTAATAATAATTAGAAAGCAATGACGAGGAATGCCTTTAGTCCAAGTAGACAATAAAATACATTAAATGCAGGCTATCCATAATTTTTTAACCTGCATCGTATTTTTCAACATGATGGATTTTAGCGATACCAGTACTATATAACAGTTATATATAGAGTAACAAGGACGAAAAATATTTCATACATATTTCTTAGCATAATTATATGCTTTTTGAAATTTTGATACCCATCCTTTAATTTGGTATTAGTATCAAAGTTGTCATTTGATTCAAAAAATTATAACAAGTTATTAGAGTGTCCACCAAATGATCAATTCAAAACCAGCTATTAATAATAAATAGAAAGCAATAGAGAGGAATGCCTATAGTCAATCCCGGTAGGCCACAATTCGATCTCGATCAAACTCAAAAACGTGTGGGTAGGCATTTCTCCTTCTTACACGAGGCATAACAAATTTTTTTTTACCCAAGCACAAGGCTCGAATTCAATTTCTGTATGAGAAACTTACTGCCCAATCTCTTCCTTTATACGCATCGTAATTGTCGCTACAGCCACCTGCTTTGCATGAATGCGCTGATAAGCTAATCATTTGCATATCACAACTTGCTTTATCCGTCCTGCAAATCTCACGTTCGTGGCGTGTCGCCTTCCTGGTGTAGCAATTTTAATGTCCAGTAGTGTATATATATAACAACAATGTTTTTGAATTAAAAAATATAATAAAAAAATTAAAGAGAAAGAAAATAAAGAGATAAAGTAAGTGAAACAAATTTCCAGACAATTTTTCTCTTTTTGCTTATAGGAAAGTGATACAATAATCAGATTTGTCACGTTAAAACATACCTACTTTAAAAACTACATACGGGAATTTAAAAAGAAAAAATCGTTAACTTTTTCATCACACATGGTTTCGGAATTGAGCAAAAACGCGTTAAAATAGCTCCGTAACAAACATAGTCGAATTTGAAAACCCTATGTATTTAAATTTGAAACAGTATATACTCATATTTGAGCATGAAAAGATTTAATTTCATTGAAGAAATAAAATTAGGATCGTATAAGATTATTTAATTAAATCGAAATTTCTTGGTTGTTACAGAATGCTCAAATTACAATGAAGCATGGCCTTCATCAACGTGCTGCAATTTTTTGGAAAAAATAATTTTACTTTTGTTATTTTCTTTTTTTGAAAAAAAAAAAGTATCTTATAATATATACTCTCAACGTTTAGAGTTTATTTTCTTAAATGTACTCTAGTTTTTTTATTTTTTTTTATTTTAAAAAATCTTATTTAAACAAATGTTTTCTTATTTAATTGAAACTGTATTATGATTTTTTTCATTTCTAAATCTATTTTTCAAATTCCATTTTGATTTATAATTATCACTTATTACTTTTCTATTTCATTTTCTTTAACCTCATTTATTGCATTCTTAAATTGATAAATTTTAAAACAATTAATTTAATTTCATGAACTAGCATTTTTTTAATTTAATTAAAAAATAGTTAAGGGTCATTCTCACAAAAAGGTGATTTTTTTAGTCCCTTAGTAATAAATATTAGGGAATACAGCAGATTTCTAAATATTTTTCTTCATCATTTTTCGTAAAGTTCTAACTAACAAATCATATGCATTTCTGCAAAATGTATTTAATATTTCATTCTTATTTTTTAATAAACATAACTTCAAAATCCCCTCCGTGGACGTCCCTACGTCTGTGACACAAAATAATTTGTAATGGCTGTTAAATAATTTAAATGTTTCTTTAATGATTTTTGTAGTTTTACTTAGTTAAATGCTTATAGTAACTTTTTATTTAATATTTAAAAAAAAATTTTTTTTAGTGAAATAAATGACTAGTAAACTTTGTCTATCAAAAATGAAATCTCCCTCCGTGGACAATTAATATAGTTGGTAAATATGCCATAAAGGGCAGCATATGCGAAATCCCTGTAAGACAGCTTCTGGGAAAGGTAACCATTCCATTTTCTAATGCTAACTATCAGTATTTTTTTTGCTCTCTTTGGTGTCAGTTTTGGATTGTTGTGTTCAACTGGGGTTTGGCAAAGTTCTCACCATATACTCAGTGGACATCATAAAGAAGGTAAGAGAAAATTATTTTATTTTTGATAGATGAATTTTAGATTGCAAAAATAGTATATTTAATAAAAAGAGCTGCCCCATTTTTGTAACTTTAAAATTGAAAATCAGTAAAATTCAAGAACTAGTTTTTGTCTCCTCCGTGAACGTCCCCTCCGTGGACTTTGTTATGTCCACGGAGGAGAAGACGCAGTCAATGGAAGAGACAATGTGTTAGATAACCATAATACAATTTTAATAATTAAAAAACTTTTTTCTCTTAATTGATATTTTTAAAATGGAGCAAATATGTTAATTTGTTTGTATTTTTAAACAAAAACAATTAAGTTTAACTTTTTCTTATATGAGAAGTAAATATTGGCAATTTTTCTGTTTAACATTTTTTTTCTCTTCAAATTTTAGGAAAAAAATGGTAAAACCAAAATGCAAAAAAAGAAAGCTATCAAATGTTCAAATGCGAAAGAGAAGGGAACAGAAAAAACTTAGTATGAGACAAGCTAGACAGAAATTAAAAGAAAANTTTTTAAAAAAAAAAAAAAAAAAAAAAAAAAAAGGAACAAGAAACTTCAAAATCTGTTTCAGAAAAAGATTTAACCGAAAAATCGTGATTAAATGTACCTAAATTTCTAGAAATTGATAGAGCAAGCCGTTTGTGCCCAGGGAAAAAAGAAACAATAATAAGAAGAGCAGAGAAAAAACAAAAGCGTTATTTGGATGACAATATGTTTAACTTGCATAAAATGTTCATAAAAGAGTACCCTCAACACTCAACTTTCATGTGGAGTTTGAAATTTCATTTAAATAGTCTTTACATTTTAATTTATTAATATTCAGTAAGAGTTACTTAAAAAATTGTACACTTAGATTAAAAATGGATGTTTCCTTTCATAGCAGCATGATTAATATGAAGTAGCTCTATCTCTAATAATGAAATATTTTATTATTTACTTATTAATGTTAAACTCATATCAGTTGTACTTAATAATTAATGAAATAGTCTTCATTGACATTTTATATTTTATAACATAAAATCTCTCCACCGTTGACTATTACATCTCCTCCGTGGACAAGGCAGAATTTAAAATATTTTAAATCTTGTAAAAAATAAAATAGAAAACTTGACCATTATTATAAGGACATATAACAAAAATAAAAATGTAATTTTTATCACTTTTTTAATTACTTTAATTTAAGAAAATTTTTTAGTCTATTTATACCTTTTCAGTGAGAATGACCCTTAAGAAGTACATCAATACAAAAAGTATGAAATTTCGGAATGTTTTTTTTTTTTTTTTTAANGAATTTTTTTTTTTTTTTTTTTTTAAATTGAACAGTATTTCTAAACAAAGATCAACCTTGAAGAAACTGCATCTAATGAACATAATTTTTAACCACATGAAGGCGCTGTCTCCTATTAACTCTAATCGAATCGTGATTGTTTCATATTCACCATTATCATTCATCAGTTTCTCAATCATCATCGATGTTTTTCCACAAAAACATAGAACATTTTGTTTATAAAATATGAATTATTGTAATTTTATGCAAGAACATTTCGTTAGTATGTTTATGGTTTATCCTAAGAAATTAATGATTACACGGATTTGAGAAGTAAATAATTATACTTGAAAAAAAAAATATAAATAACCGAGGGAAATTTTCAATTAACAATTAAATTGTAGTGAAAGGCATTTTTCACTGCAATTTAATTATTAATAATTCTCAAACTAGTTATCCAATATTAATTTTTTTTTATTCTCTCGCACTCCCTGTTCATTTTTCTACTTACCTTCGTAATACCATGCTCCTTAGTCTTTTACTTTTGCACAGCAAAACAAAATGTATAACGCAAAAATAAATAAATAAATAAAAAAGAAAGAAAATAAAGAAGTAAAGTTATTATAACAAATTTCCAGACAATTTTTCTCTTTTTGCTTACAGGAAAATCGTACAATAATAAGATTTGGCAC